TGCCCGCGCAGGCTCAAGGTGCACAGGCCCCTCCGGGTCAGCAGGTGCCTGCAAATGCACAGGCTCAAGGTGCACAGGCCCTTCCAGGTCAGGCGTGCTTGCAGGTGCCCGCACATGCGCAGGCTCAAGGTGCACAGGCCCTTCCGGGTCAGGCGTGCTTACAAGTGCCAGCAAAGGCACAGGCTCAAGGGGCACAGGCCCTTCCGGGTCAGGCGTGCTCGCAGGTGCCAACACACTCAGGCCCTTCCGGGTCAGGCGTGCTCGCAAGTGTCCGCAAATGTACAGGTTCAAGCTGCGCAGGCCCTTCCTGGTCAGGCGTGTTTGCAGGTGCCCGCACATGCACAGGCTCAAGGTGCACAGGCTCGAGGTGCCCAGGTCCATGCCCAGGTCCTGTCGGGCACTTTCCCCTAGCATGCCAGGCGGGTTGGGGCGCAGCCTTAATACTGTCGTTTTGCACACACTGCGCAAACCTCATGCGTCTGTGTGAGTCGCAATTCATGCGGCTGTGTGAGACGCAACTCTACACGTTGTCCTGCGTTTTGGGTGTAGGAGGGCTCAGGATCGCACTGTTGAGGTCTGCTGGCCGCTCCCCAAACCAAAGGCGATTAACAACCGAACGGTCTGGCCAGTCGGTGCAAGCGTGCTGGGTGTAGTGTTAAACTGTCCTTTAGTAGCATTCCCTTTCCTCAAAATGCTCCCTTACATCCACTTGCCTATTATGCACCTAGCGCTGCGGGGCTCCGCGAAGGCGTCTTGTTGATCAGCCTGGCGGGCTCGTCTGTGTGCAGCTCTGTGCGTGGTGGCAGCCGGCGGGTGTGCAGGAGTCTGCATTTAGGGTTTGGTTTGCTGCTTAGGTTTCTGGTCTGCCCCTCACCCTTGTGACAGTGCTAGTCGCAGCATAGGGCGGAGCATCGTCTGGTTTCTGCTGGAAAAGTGCCTGGAACAACCGGCAGAAACAAGCCTGTTCATGCTGGAGGGGTGCCTGGCGGGGGCACTCCTTGCCACAAGCACGTCATCGCTGTAATCGGCCTGTAATCCGGCGCGGCCCTGTCAACAAACGCCATGGCTCCTGGACAGCGCCACCCCCTTAGAGTGCCGGATACAACGGACATTTGTTGGTCTATCTTGCGCAGCACGATGGACACACCTTGCTCGTTACGGCTTCTGCGATAAGGGAGTAAGCTTCTCAAACTGATGCCTAGGTCTTCTCCAGAAGGCCCAGAATGATTAGGCGCCTCCGGAAGGCCCAGAAGTGCTTTGGCCTATCAAACTGTTGCCTAAACCTTTGCGGAAGGCTCAGAAGTGATTAGGCCTCTCAAACTGCTGCCTGAAACTTCTCCGGAAGGCCCAGCAGTGGGTCGGCCTCTCCAACTGCTGCCTAAAAACTTTCCTGAAGGCCCAGCAGTGGGAGACCTCTCAAACTGATGCCTCAAACATCTTCTGAAGGCCCAGAAATGATTAGGCCTCTCAAACTGCTGTCCCAACAGTTGCCTGAAGGCCCAGAAGTGATTAGGCTTTTCAAACTGCTGCCTCAACCTTCCCTGGAAGGCTCAGCAGTGATTAGGCCTCTCAAACGGCTGCCTAAAACTTCTCCGGAAGGCCCAGCAGTGAGTAGACCTCTCAAACTGCTGCCTAAAACTTCTCCAGAAGGCCCAGAAGTGATTAGGCCCCGCAAACGGCTGCCGGAGCCTTCGCCAGCAGGCCCAGAAGGGATGTGAAGAGCTGCTGCTTCAACCTTCTCCAGCAGGCCCAGAAGTGACTAGGCCTAGCACTTTGCTGTGGGTCCCGCATCAGGTGTAGTCACGGGGTAAACCTGCTTGAAGTGCTCTCCACAAAAAAATCGGCCGCTGCGCGGGGCTCCGAGTTTTAAGGCCCCTTGACTCTCACACTTGACGCGCGGTTGGCTGCAGACCGTTAAGCAGCCTTCGGGGCCTTAAACTGCACCAGGCTAAGCATGCCAAGCCGATAGGCTCCCGGTACCTGGGAAGCACATGAGCCAAGTGCCAGCCAGCAGCCTTTGGGGCTCTTGTGCCGTCTCAAAAATCGGCCGCTGCGCGGGGCTGTAAGAATTTGGCCTCTTGCAAGCAGCGCTTCAGGCCCGCCCTATGGCCATGAGGTCGAGCCTCAAAACTTTCGGCGCAAACACAAGGAGCCTCCAAATAGGGTACTCCTCTAATAGCGCCCCGTGCAGCCACACCAGCCCCTTGCCAGCCCCCGCTCGGCAGGGAGGGGGCGCCTCTTCTGGCGCTCTGTGTGCATTGTGCCTGTTTTCAGGCTTGCAACTTCCTTGTCAACCCAAAAAAGAGTCCTGAGTGCTATTGCTACGGCCCTGGCGCTTGTGTGGGGACTGTCTCTACGGACGCGTTGAGCAGTTTAGGTGGCGGAGGTTCCTTGCCTTACGGCCTACCCATACTTTCGCTTAATGTCTGTACCAGACGTGGCGCAGCATTGCTATGGGTGACGGGCAGCTGAGTGATTGGTGCCGGTAGGTTCTTGTTTGCATTGGTCTCACCTCGCTGGTCTTGCGATAAGTTGTCTTGCAATAAGGGCCTCTGCGCTAGCGGTTGCTTCTTTGTAGTCACGACTTCTTTTTCGCTCGCTGGCTTGTACAGTTTGGCTCTCGACTTCGTTTCACCTGTTATGTCGAGCCCAACAAGACCGGCCTACTGCGCTACTGATGTAGTAAAGAGGCGTCAGTCCAAAAAAAAAAATTTTGAGACGGCGCTTGGAGGCCCGGCGAGTTTGGGGCAGAAGGCAGCCTTTCGCAGGTTGTTCCATGAGAGCTTTGCTGTCACTATGAGTGAGATGCGCTCGTTGGTGGAGCGGACCGATGAAACGGCACCTAGGAAGCTTTCGGTGCCAGAACGCTCAGAGAGGTTCGCCGCTATCGTGAAGAAGTTGCCGGGGCTGGACATCCGGAATCGAATGGAGCCATCAGAGCTCTGGTGGATGCGTGTGTCGCCATCTATGAACAGAATCGCCTCCAGTACCTGGAGTGGGATCGTCTGACAAGCAAAGAGCACCAGGCACAGACGAGTGCCAAGCGAGAGTCGGTCTTGTCCATCGACAGCTCGGGGAAACTCAAGACTGAGAGGCCTGACCCGGGGCGTGCAGACACGTCCAGTGAGTTCCTCATCCACCTTGCTTTGTCTCGTCGAGGCATTGCCTTCGAGATGGCGAATCTCTTGGATTTTGTTCATCACAGCCGTTGGGTAGAAAAGCTTCTGAGTGCACGCTTGGACGTTGTTCCTTCCACTCACAATCTACCAACCTTCATGCAGTTGCAGGCTGCGGATCGCAAGTTGTTCCAGTGCCTTGCTGATTAGACACGTGCCGGCCTCCAGGTCACAGCATCAGGAAGGCCTTTGGATCAGGTGTTCGAAGCCGCCACCTGTTCAACGGAGTTTGTCAGCTTGTTGCAGCCCTTGCCTGAGGCTATTGGCGCTGGCTCTGAAAAAAAAGCGTGGTGGGCCTTACGGCTTTCCGCCGCCCCCTCCTGGAGGGAAGGGCCGTGGAAAGGGGAAGCAAGGTAAAGCTTCCGTTCGACAGATGAAAATGCCCCAGGGGCTGGAAGGCTGTTGGAGTCACACGAACGGCGGAGACCCAATCTGCTTCGGATACGGTCTTAAAACTTGTCGCGAGACCGTCACTCGCGGCAGGTGCCCGAAAGGCTTACACGTCTGCGCTGTTCCGCGGTGCGGCAAAAGCCACCCTGCCGCGGACTGCAGCTTACGCAGCAGTGTGTCAGGACAGGCCTGACTAGGGACCCAGGGTCCCAAGAGTGCCTCAGCAAGGCACAGCATCCGGAGAGGATGCAATTTTCGAGCCGGGCGCTCCCGTAGTACTAGGCGCCGCTGCCTCGCAAGGCACCGGCGGGTCGGCCTCGTCGGCCGACGCAAGTTTTCCTTCAGCACATGTGGTTCAGCCGGAGCCTAAGAGACCCCGCGTGAGCCGTGGAGCAAACTGCTTCGTACATTCACATGTAGCTGAGCACGTGAGTTCTGTTTTGGCATCTCCTCTTCATGCTGGGGGTGCCCTTTTTCCGATTCTCTTTCAGGGTGCAAAACCACATGATCTTGATCGAGCTGAGAACTTGGCTTGGGATTTGGCAGGCCATCGTGAGCTGAATGCTTCAGACCTTGTGCGCTTGTTCGATACCTTGCCAAAGGAACCATCCCCCCGCGCTGCTGAAGGCAGCAGCTTCACTGCAGGAGCGCTTGTGCATGGCGGAGTCGTCGGCGTGCGAACGACGACTGGGAAGTATCCTGCATCCATTGCCTTGTTCGTGGCATGGCTCAAACATGCGGCCCCCGGGTGTGTCTTCTCTTCCATTGCCGTGCTTGATCAGAGCCCCTCTTCCATGCTGCAAAATGCGCACTTCCCTAATATAATCACTCCCCTAACCGCCTTTCAGGGAGGATGTCTCTGGGTTGAGGGTGAGGGCTCCGAAGTCCGTGAGTTTCAAGGCCACGATGTCATCGGTGGCCCCGTTCCCTGGAACGGCCCGTCTATGCTCTTGTCGGCCAGCGAGAATGCGCATTGCGTACTCCCTTGGCGGTGCGTTTCGTGGAGAGGCTAAAGCCCCCCGCTAAGGCAGCGCTGCGGCGCTTAGGGTTTCCCCTAGAAGCTAGTCCCAGTCCAAGCCTGCCACCCCCGTCAGGTGTCGCTCCAGCTGCAGGAGCCCAGCCATTGGCAGAGGCCTCGGGCCCTCTTGCGCCGCCCGTGCAAAACTCATCTCGTTTGCTGCCGCCGTCGACCTCTCGCAGCCTCAAATCAGACGTTAGCGGCCGAATACCGGTCGATCCACAAATAGTCCGCTTTGCTGGGGTACTGCGCACGGCTCGGCAGTGCCTGCAGAAGCGGCTCCTTGCTTTGAACAGCTCGTAGCTTTTGCTCTTGCTGGCGGTGGGCACACTCGCGTGTCTCATTCCGCTGTTCGTCTTCGGTGCGCCTTTAGGGCATTTTCGCACCTCCCCCATTTGCCGCGCCTTTAAGGCATCATGTTCGGCTCCGGGGAAACCCCTGCGGGCAAACGTCCAAAGCCCGAGCCTTCCTCCGATGTCCCTGCGCAAGCAGATGTGCTGGCCATGGCGAAGGCGCAGTTTGGTGACAAGCTTTCTGCCGAAGAGCTGCAAGGCTTTCTCAACTCCATGGCCCAGCTGCGGAGCCAAGGCTCCGGTGCTTCCTCCACATCGCCCAATCCTTCAGCAGTTCCGCAGATTGTAAAGATCGAGGCCGATGAACTGCAAGCAAAACAAGAAGTGGAAGGGGCCCTCAATGTTCCTTGGGAGGATCTTTCTGAGCCACAAAAGCACGCCCTGCGTGATAAGGACACCAGGGATTTTGTGCTTCTCCTGGCAAATAGTGCCACGCGTGGTGGGTTCTTTTTCGACAAAGACAAGCAGTCCTTTGAGCGTGTGGCCATGATGCAGCTCCCAGAGCGCGAGGCCATGCAAACGGACTTCGATGAGATTGCAGAGCTTGCAGTCGAGGACACCATCAAGCAGGCCCTCATTTCCTTCCACAAAGACACCCACGTTCGCGACCTTCAAGCCTTGTCCCAAAAGGTCACGGATGCGATGGCAGCCCAGCACGATTGCAACCGCATCTTCGGCTCCAGGTTGAACCAAGTGGAGGACCGCTTGGAAATTCTGGAGGCAGACGTCGCGCGTCGCACACTCCTACTGAGCCAGTTGCCTCCTACGGCGTCCATCGGCAATTTGAAGGCCTTCGTCAAGTCGTTTTGCAAGTACGACGACCTTCAGGATATGGTCACCCATAGCTACAGCTCGAAACATGCTTTGGCAGTACTCCAGTTCATTCGGGCCCAGAGTTGTCATGATGCGTATTCGCAGTTCCAGAAGCAATCCTCACTTGGCAAGCTCCCGAAACTGCAGTACAAGGTCGAGGGTAAGGAGGAGACGGTGCCTGGCAAGGAATTGCGTCTGGAGAAATACCAGCCGCAGTCGAAGCTCCTCGCGATGCTTCCCATCAAAACCATGCATGCGCTCCTGTTACGACCGGAGTGCCCGTTGCACGGCCAGGGTTCCATCATCTCCAAGGCCGATTTCGGCCAGCTCATGTTTCGACCCAAGGACTCGAAACAGCAGGATGTGATCTGCCACCTCATGACCCGCTTCCACAAGGGCAGTGAAACTTTGTTCGTCCAGGAACTGGGCCTCGTGCAATCCATCTTCGACTATGCTCGCGCCAATTTCATTGGTGAGTTCAACCAGCAGTTAGCGGATACTACTTCGAAGTGCCGTGCGGTGAAGTTGGCTAAGTGTTTGGGAGGCACGCGAGCTCGCGAAGTCAGTACGTACCAACAGGTTCTGCATGACGAATCCCCTCCTATGCATCCTTTGTTCGTGTTTGCGCTGACCGACCAGCAAAGCAAAGTCCTCCTACGACATCCCAACGCCAGCATTCTCGGCGATTTGGCATATAGCACGGTCCTACGCAGTCAAGGCCGTTTGGCTCTCAACCCACAAGTGAATCTGGAGTTGAGGGATGACTCATGGGCAAAGGAACAGGAGGAGAAGCGCAAGGCCAAGGAGATCACCAAGAAGGAGTTGGATGAGGATGACGAGGAGGCCGCCCAGGAGGTCAAGAAGAAGGGGAAAGGCAACAGTGGCGAGGCTCAGCAAAAGCAGAAGGCAAAATCCAAGGCTAAGGCGAAGGCTGCCAGAAACCCGGATTGGCACGCGACGGGTGGCGTTTGGGCTCCCGGTGGCGGCTGGTCCTACTCCAAGGGCAAGGGCAAGGGCAAGGGCAAGAGCAAGAAGGGCTGGTGGTGACTAGGGATCGCTTGTGCGTTTTTCCTTCTCCGCTTTCTGCCGTTCTTTGCGGTTTTCTGTCCTGGCCTGCCGATGGCAGCCTTTGACATGTTTTTGAAGTGTCGGCAGGACTTCGCTCGAGTCTGCTTTGTAGGTCGGGCACATAGTCCGCTGCCCCCAACGCAGGCACATTTGGTGCCAGTTTTGACTCACACAGTTTGCGGTTGGGACCGCGTTTGCGCAGAGGCTTTGAACTCTTTGATGTACACGCGGCATGGAAATAAGTCCTTGATTGATCGCGTTCTTGCTATCGGTCGAGGTAGTATCTCCGATGCCACTCTTCGGCTTTCCACGTTAAGCTTTGAAAGAGGTGCTTGGCAGAGGCCAGCGCGTTCGTCTGCGCTTTGGCACGATTCCACTCAGTGCTACCTCCAAAATGGTATGCGAGTTTTCCGCGCTTTCCTTCTGCACGACACTAAGATTCCTTCTCTCGTGGTGTTTTACTCGCGCAAGTCTGTGTTCCAGTACTTGATTCTTCGTCGCACTGTCGCGATTCAATCTTTCATGGATGTTCTAGCGCGTGGGCACACCTCCGTAGGTGAGGCGGGATGCCGTCGTTCTTTTCCCCAGTGGCTTGAGCAGACGCGCTACTTGTTGCGTTCTGTCGGTGTCCGCAGGGATCCGAGCGGCAGCGAAGTGCCCCCTGATATGGAATCCCGTCGCAAGTCCAGGCGTTCTGTGGCGGCTCGCTCGCGTAGAGTAGAGAATTTTCGGCTCGTCAGGCGTGCCAACCGGCAACGCTACCGTTCTTTGAAGACGGAGCTCCAAAAATTGACCCTAGTTGTTGATGCTCCGAGGGATTCCCAAAGGGTTCAAGAAGCTCTTCACACGGTTGGCTGTGACTTGTCTTCCAATGCTGGCGCCTTTAAGGCTTCTTTGCCAGCTCCAGAGGTGGGAACTCGTAATCCCACTCTGATCCGGGCGGCGCGCCTTAAAGGCTTCCTTTGCGCCACCTGGAACGTGGAGGGTCTCCGAAGCCCGGGCAAGCATCACGTGCTTGTCAGAGCTATGGAAACCTACCACTTGGACATTGTTCTTCTCCAGGAAACACACACACAAGGTGCTGCTTCGTATTGCATTCGGGATCATCTTTTCTATTTAGTCGGCTCTTCTGATCGTAAATGTGACGCGCATGCTGGGGTAGGTTTTATCCTTGCGCCTCACATGCGTAAATACGTGATTCGTTTCACGCCTTATCACGCGAGAGTCGCTGCTCTGGAAATCAACACCAGACCGCGTGCTTCCACCTTTTTCAGCATTTATGCCCCCAGCACTCTCCCGGATCCTGCGCTTGATAGAGAGCGCAAGGAGGCTTTCTGGGACCTGCTCGCTAGTATTGTCCCGCGTTCCAACTCCAGCAGCCCCATCGTCATCGCTGGGGACTTCAATTCGAGACTCATACGGAAACTGGCGGAGGATCCGCCTGTGTTTGGCGACGCGCTTTTTGGCACCTCCAGTGTGATTCACACTGAGGAATGGAATAATCGGGCGAACCTTCTTAGTTTTGCGCATGAGCGCAACTTGCTGTTGCTCAACACTTTCACCTCGAAGCCAGTTTGCACGTTCCGTGAAATTGGCGCCGGAAGTTCTATCTTTGATCCGGCTCCGCAGGATTATCACATTCTCGACTTTGTTTTGGTCCCTGCGACTCGGAAGAACAGCATTCATGGCATTCATGGCCTTCATTCTTTCGCTTTTGATTCCCACCACTACCCTTTGGTTTTCAAATACCAATTTAAAGATGCAGGGCGTGTCAAAACCTGTGGCAACAGACCCGGTCTGGTCCTTCCACCGCAATTGCAGCTCCCGACTTTTGACCAGAGGCCGGAAGGTCCGGTCTTTTACGTTTTCACTGATGGTTCAGCGGGCGCCGGTGCGGCGGGCTGGGGCTTCTCCATCTGCTTTGATGTTGAAGGTCGGTCTCCACTTCTTTCCTCGCACGGTTGGGTTGAGACTGACCCTTCGAGGCCAGCCTACCAGGGCACCTTGCTTTGTACCAATAACACGGCTGAGGTTGTTTCGCTTCTTGAGCTTCTTGATCTTCTCATTCGCGAGTTTCCGGTAGCCACGACTTTTGTGGTTCGTCCAGACTCGCATTTCGCTATGTACACTGCCTCTTTAGACTGGATTACCTCGAAGCATCCAGAGTTGGTTGAAAAGCTGCTGCTTCACCTCGCTTGTGCGCAGCAACGCCATTTCTTTTGCTTTCAACATGTTCGGGCTCACAAGGGGGTCCCCGGCAATGAGCGTGCTGATGAGCTCGCTAAATCCGGTGCCCTCGGCAGCTGTTCTTGGGTTGGCCGTTGGGGCGCTCTCATTCAGCCTCTTCAGGTCCCCAGTCTGCCTCCCGCCCTCAGTCTTTCTTATGAGGGCCTTATCGCTCTCATTTCTTCGCAAATGTTGCGACGGCCTCCTCGGAAGGCCAAAAAGCCGTGGATCTCCGAGGCCACGTTGGCCAAAATCGATGAACTCGCTTTCCTGCGCACGAATGGGTTGGCAACCCATGAGCAGGAGGTTGCCCACCATAAGGAGATTCGCAAAAGGGCACGCCGTGACAAGAGGGATTGGACAACAGCTCGTCTGTTGGACCATGACCCCCGCTCACCGCCCTGGAAGGTTTTGGCTTCTCTTCGCTCTGCCTTCCACTCCAGACCAGTGGCGATCAAGTCGTCCACAGGCCTGGTCACTGGGTATAACATTGCGGAGGAGTTCGCGCAGCATTATGCGCAAAGATGGTCGCTCCCTGGGCCGTTCCTTCCACCCCCGCTTGGGGACCCTCATCCTCCTATTCCGGTGGATGGCCTGACCTGCAAGGTGTCTCTGGGTGAGCTCCTGGGAGCTATCGCCCGCACGAAGCGTGGGAAAGCACCGGGGACGGATGAAGTTCCGGCGGATGTTTTTCGTCGTCTTACACTGCCGACGCTTCTTCTTATTGCTGCTTTGTTCTCGGACATGATTGAGGGTGGCCCACACCCCCAAAGTTGGCGTGAGGCCATGGTAGTGGCTTTGTTCAAAAAGCACTGCCCGTTGGAGGCCAGTAACTATAGGCCCATTGCTTTGTTGAATTCTTTTTACAAGCTGTTCGCCTGCGTCCTGCGGTGTCGTCTCGCCAAATATGTTGAGGACCGTTTGCGTGGTTCCCAATATGGTTTTCGTCCAGCTCGTTCTTCCTCGCAGTGCGTTTTCCTCCTTAAACGCATGGTGGAGCTGTTTGAGCAGTATGGGGGCACGCTCCACGTCATTTCTCTGGACTGGAGGCTCGCCTTCGACTCCATTCACCACTCGTCTATTGATTGGGCGCTTACCCATCTCGGGGTTCCTGCCCAATTTCGGAGGGTCATCATGGCTCTCTACCATGACACGATCTTCCGGGTCAAATTTGGAGTCGCTTCTTCGGATTACCCCTTTTTGAGAGGTATCCGCCAGGGGTGTCCGCTTTCCCCTTTTTTGTTCGTCGCTGTGCTCTCCGTTGTTTTTGAGTCTGCCGATGGCGTGTTCTTTGATCGCTACCAGCAGCGTCCTTGGACGCTTTCTCGTGAGTCCCCCACTTCGGATCTGGAGTACGCGGATGACACGCTGCTGATGGCACGTACGGGTCAAACGGCGAACCGTATGCTCCACGTCCTCCAAGAGGTCGCTTCTGCTGCAGGCTTGGTTCTTCATCCTGCTAAGACCTTCCATCTCGCAGTCAATTCGGAGTGGCCCATCATCCCTGCTATGGCTGAGGTCGGTGAGAGGTGCCACTGCCGTTTCTGTGACGAGTCACAGACCTGCCCTCATGTGTGCCCTTTGCAGCAGGTTGAGGAGCTGGAGTACCTTGGTACTATTACTACCCCGAAGGGCGATGCTGATCCCAATCTGCGTAACCGTCTTAGGCTTGGTCGCTTGGCGTTTGCTAAGCTCAAGCCTTTTTTCCGTTTGTCGGGTGTCCCTCTGTCCGTCAAGCTGCAAGTCTACACTGCTATCTTCCAAGCGGTGGTGGTGTATTCGTTGGAGTCTGAGGCTTTGTCACCGTCGCAATATATGCGACTGGACACGCTCGGCATGAAAGTGCTTCGCAGCATTCTTAAGCTGCCTTCTGCTTATTACTCGCATATTACTGGGGATGGCATTTCTCACGAGGCTGTCCTTAAAGTCTTGGCTGACCGGGGTTTTTCTATTCGTCCTTTGTCCCATGTTGTCATGTCTCGGCGTTTGCAGCTCCTTGGTCACATTCTTCGTGATTGTTCGCTGCCTGCCTGGAGTGTGTGTTTTCGGGAGGGTGTCCTCATTTACCGTCGACTCTCCTCTACGCGGCGTCGCGGTCGTCGTCGTCCTCGCTGGGCGGAAACTACTATCGCGCTTGCGTATCACAGACTCAATACTCCTCGGCCTCAGGCTTGGGAGTACTCGCATGCTTTCTTTCGCATGCCCACCCTCCAAGACACTGTCTCTGTCCATGGGGGTCCCGAAGACGTCCGTCTCGGCATCGCGGAAGCCCATATCTTGAGGACTATCCGGGATAAAGCCCATAACCGTGCCGCGTTCAGAAAGGATGTCTTGTAAGTCCTCTGTCGCATTTTGAGCGGGTCCTGGCTTTTCTGTGTCTTTTGCACGCACACTGCCAAATTCCCTTGAAAGAAAGAAAAAAAGTCGACCTCTCGCCCCCTTGTGCTCGAGTTGTGTGCGGGCTCTGCCCTTCTGTCTTGCGTAGCCAAAGAGGCCGGGTACGCGGTCGTGCCGTTGGATTGGGGCCACAGTAAGCATAGACCTTATGTTCATGTGCTGCAGATGGACTTGCGCTTGTCCCGCACCTGGGACCTCATCAGGCGTCTTGTTGAGACACGCGACGTTGTGTGGGTGCATATCGCACCGCCATGCGGCACAGCCAGCCTTGCGCGCGATATTGGGAAGGGACCGCGCCCGCTTAGGTCCCTTCGCCACCCTTGGGGACGGCCCGATCTGTCCGAGGTTGAGGCAGCTCGGTTGCTAGCGCCAACGCTATCTATCGGGAGACGGCTGCCTTTTGCCACTGGCTCCTGTCCAATCATGCTTGCGTCCATTTCTCGGTGGAAAATCCATTACACTCGTGGCTTTGGCACTTGCCCTGCTTCCAATCCTTGGTGCAGAGACTTACCTTAGTAAGCTTCGATGCATGCTTGCATGGTTCCACACGCAAGAAGGCTACAGCTTTCCTGTCCTACCACCCAGTTTTGGGCCGCCTCAGCGGGCCTTGCCCGGGATGCCCAAAGCATGATGCTTGGGTTGTGGACGGCGCGTATGCCACAGCTTTGGAGGCCGCCTACCCAAAACTTCTCTGTGAACGGCTTGTTGCCTGCATCGATGACGTCGCTGCAGAGCGTCAGCTTCTTCCGAGCAAGCTTCAGACTTCTGAGCTAGCTAATGCCCGAGCAGCAGGGCAGGTTCAGCCCCGAGGTCGCCGTTTCGCGCCTGTCATCAGCGAATTTGCGCATACCGTGTCAGTGGCTTCCTCCGAAGCCCCCCCGCTGAATGCTAAGAACTGCTTGGAAAAACCTTGGTTGCAGGTGCCTGCCAAGGCTAAACTGCTGCGTGTGTCCGTTGAAAGGGGTGGTGCCGACACCCGCGCAGGTGAGCTGGGAGATGAGCTCCAGGTGGATGCAGCTTCTTGTCGTTTTTACACTTTCGGTGTGTATCGATCTCCAGAGGTTTTCGTGCAGGAGGCCAAGCAGCTTGTTCGCCCCTTTGATACTGCCAGGGCACTTCCGGACGGACTGGTTCGCGTGCTCTTCGACCTCCTTGTGCAAGGCCCGGTAGCGATTGTGCGACGGAGACTGGAGAAAATCAGGCTCTGGAGACAATGGGCTGTTGAGCTTGAGGGCGAGCAGCATGCCTTGAAGCAAAAGCTTGAACCTTCGGTGAGGCGTGTTTTGGGAGGCAAGCGCCTGTGCCTTCTTAAGCGTATTGCCGAATCTCTTGAGTGGCCTGACAAGCAACTTCATCACGACTTGGAGGTGGGGTTCAAACTCACTGGCTATATGCCGTGTACTGGGGTTTTCCATCCGGACGAAAAGCCGGCACTTAGCTCCGAGCAAGATTTTTGGGAAGGTGCGGCCGTCTTGAGGGATTCTCTGTGGGACAAGGTGTCCAGCCAAGTTTGTGGTGAGCATGCGCAAGAGCTGTGGAACGTCACTCTTGAAGAAGCAGATGCAACATCAAAGGCTTGGCTTGATGGTCCTTACACTAGAGAGCAGCTGGAAGAAGTGTATCCGCAGGGATGGTCGCCTTGTCGCCGATTCAGTGTAATGCAGGGAAAGCTTCGTCCAATCGACGACTTCTCCGAATCCGGCGTGAACTCCTGTTTTGGGTGTTTCGAGCGTGTCAGCCTGAAAGCACTGGATGAGCTTTGCTGGGTTTGCCTGCAGGTATTCCGTTGTTCCTTGGGTTCCGGTTGGGTGAAGTTTGTTTTGAGTGACGGCACGTCCCTCGAGGGCAGGTTGCACAAAGTTTGGGCGGATCGCGAGAAACTGCGTCCACTCACGAAGACCTATGACCTTAGAGCTGCGTACAAACAACTACCTCTTCACCCGGGAGAGAAGCCGAAGGCAGTCCTGATTCTCAAGAACCCTACCGACGACCGGGTGTATGCATTTCCGTGCAACACCTTGCCCTTCGGTTCGTCGGCTGCGGTGATGCACTTCAATCGAGTGTCCCTGTTGCTGCAGCGGATCCTTTGGGAAGTCGGCGTAGTAACGGCATGTTACTATGACGACTACCCAACAATGGCTCCTGCGATGCTTAGTGGGGGCACTGATAATGCGGTGCATTCGGTCATGGACCTCCTTGGGCTCACGCTATCGCGCGACAAAGAGCAGCCTTTCAGCTCTGCTAGCGAGATGCTGGGAGTTGTCCTGGATACAAGCGACCCGTCCTTTGGGCACGTGTGCGTGTCAAACAAACAGGAACGGGCTGCGGCGATGTGTGAGACACTTGCAGGCGTGATGAGGGATCGAAAGGTGCTGGTTCGCGAGGTGCCCTCCCTTTTGGGGAGACTGCAATTTCTTGAGTCGCAGATGTTGGGACGCACGGGCCGCCTGGCCATTTCTGATCTGAGGAACCTGGAGCGGGCTGCTGCATTCAGCGTGGAGCTAAGCCAGTCACAGTTCGATGCGGTTGCTTTGCTACGTGCTCGCCTTTTGAAGGGGGTTCCCCGTCAGCTTTCAGCGAGCCCTGCATCTGCCCCAGTCCTTGTGTTTACCGATGGAGCATGCGATCCCTGTGGAAGTTCCTTTCATGCGGCTGTGGGAGGCGTTCTCATCGCTCCTGGGTCGAAGCCCCGTGTCTTTGGTGCCAAAGTTCCTGAGGCCTTGATCCAACGGTGGGCACGGGGGCGCAAGCACATCATAGGCCAGGTTGAGCTGTACGCCGTGGTTTTAGCCAGGGTCTTGTGGTCCAGGGCACTAGGGGGGAACAGGGTCTTCTTCTTCGTGGACCACACGGGTGTCCACAGCTCGTGTATAAACGGGAATGCTGCTGATACCTCCTGGCGTGAGCTGCTCATGCAACTAGAGGCTGCGGACGAGGCGGCGCCGTGCCTAGCATGGTTCCACAGGGTTGCCAGTGAAAGCAACCCTTCCGACGCCCCCTCTCGGGGTGAGTGGGACAAACTGCGTTACCTGGGGGATTTCTTGCGCGACGAGGTCAAATGTCCGATGACTTATTGCACTCTTGAAAGCACTTGATGCGCCGGCCAAAGAGAAGTGGGGGAGATGAATGGGGCCGACACATCAGTTGTGTCAGAGGGCCGATGGCACTACATGTGCCATAGTGCAGGCCACTTAAAAAGTGGCATGGCGTACTTTCCCCATTTTCTCGGCGTGCCGATGAAGAAAAAGTGCGCATGTGTTAGAGTGTGAAGTGTGATGAGTTTGAGTTGCATGATTTGGGAATCCGATATGTTGATGCTGAGTTCAACGCGTTTCCCCTCGAAATAGAATGTTGGATAATTCCCTGTAGCTCGCCTGCGGGCAGAATTTATATCATTGCGTATGAAGGATGTTGTTCTGGTTGGGGCAACTATAAGCTGTACTTCATGCTTGCATGACGTTGCCTTATAGTTGCACCAAAACCAAAATTGTCTGTCGGAGCTTATCTTTGAGCAATTTTGGGCCAGAACAAAAGTTTGGAATTTAATATGCATCGTCCCAAACCTCATAGGTGGGACACTAAGCAAATTTGTGCTCAGGTGTGAGCTTCAGAGAGTACTTTGCTTATGTATGCATGACAGATTCTTGGGACATGTGTTGTTTAGGATTGTTTAAGTTTGCGATTGAAATTTCAATTGCATTCCAGAGCTTGGCTCAGCAGTCAGCAAAGCAAGGAAATTTCTTTCCCTTGTGTCAGAGGGCCGATGGCACTACATGTGCCATAGTGCAGGCCACTTAAAAAGTGGCATGGCGTACTTTCCCCTTGTTGTTCTGGTTGGGGCAACTATAATGAGCTTATACTCCCGTATTTTCTTCACTTTTTCTTGAACCACCGCTGCTGGAAGCAGCGGGTCAACTCTAGTACTATTTAATTCTTGAGGAAGGTTTCATTCAAATTTAGAACTTAAAAACATGATTTGCTTATAATATCTATAGATTTGGGATCTTTGAGGAAGGATTCGTTATAATTTCTATATCTCTTAAGATTCGGAGGAATCTTTGTGTATAATTTTATATACCTTGGATTAAGGATATGAATTTCTAGAGGAAGATTTCGCTTCGATTTCTATATCTTCCTCACTTCGGTGCAAGAGGTTGAGGGTGAGCGCTTGTAAGGCTATATTAATTGTTGTTCAATTTCCATTCCAAAAGCAGGTGCTCTCCTTATCAAGCTCTGCTGCCCAAACTACGAGGGAGGCAAATGCCCTCTCATACAACCCGCAACCGAGGAGATGCCGACAGACGTCTGCCGGGACAAAGGCCTCAATGACAGGTAGTTCCAAAAGCAGCGCCAGCCCAGGCAGAAGACGGAGCGTGATTATCAGCGCGAGGCGAGAAGACCCGACAAGAGGACTCGTCAATGGCTGCGCGATAGGATGCAACAAGAATCGGCTGAAGAAGAGGAAGGATCCAGACGGCCTCGTACGCCACGGCCGCTCACAGTGTTCAGCATGCCGCCCAGCCCACCTAGGGCACGACGTCAACTCAAAGCTGAAATCCATGAGCCTCCGGTACCACCTCCTCGCGCTCTGCCTGCAGACACGCAGGATCTCGAAGAATCTTCGATGTCTTCCCCGCCGCCCCCGCCGGATATCATCCAGCTTGATGACGAGGACGTGTGCCACTCGGAGCATGCCACCGACATGCAGTTGTTCCGTCAGGGCCGCGGCGCAGACCTCCCGCTGGACAACATGCCCTCATGGGTTGCGCAAGCCCTGAGGAACCCGCCTACCTTTGCTGCGCCTGAGGAACCGAAGCCGAGTGTGACTGGCCAGGTGGACGTGCGCAGTGATGGGATGCCCCCGTTGTGTGGGACGGTCTCACTAGTGCCGGCAACTGACCCGGAGCAGCATGACACCTGTGAAGGGGCAGCATACATGGCCATGCGCAGCTCTCTGACTGGTCTGTTCCCTGCTGTGAGGAGAGCAAGGTGCACTCGTAGCCTGACTCTTGCTTGGGTTTGGGTGAGGACCGGCCCGCGATGCCCGCTGGCCCTGCTGCAGACAGACACCTCGGAGGTTTCTCCTCCGCTACGTGTCCTTAGCTGGGGCTCTCGGTACCAACATCGCCGCCAAGGCCCGGCAAGAAGAAGAGAGAGAGCTAGGTGGGTGCATGCAATTCCAGACTGGACTTGTATTGCAAATCAGCTTCACTCTCTAGCCAAGACTTTGACGGCTAAATTTCTTAGTAGTTGGTTGTGCACGCATTTTTGCGTTTTAAGGCCAGTTTTCTTGAGTGCTGCGGTCCATCGCAGACCGCTCCCGTCACCTAGGCGCTCTAGTTCCCCTTCTAAGGCCATTCCCCCCAACTCCGATCACTCACCAGCTGACAACTTGCACCAGCCCGGGTGCGTTTCCGCAACACATAGTTACACTGCAAGCTGCCCAGGTCCCAAGTCCTGGGGTGGTAGGTTGCTAGGAGCTCTGTTAATACAAAGTCTCATACCATCCCGAGCAACTGCCACTGACGCGAGGGTTGCAGGCATAGTCACGAGGCCTGCTGAAGCTTGTAGAGCAAGTAGCATCACAAGCTCACTTCATGAAGCGAAGCATCGTGGAACTGATGTTACCCATCAACATGAATCATCCGTCCAACAAACTGTTTATGCGCAACTCTCCAAAACTGGAAAGCGTTCCTTTCATAGAGCTGTCCGCAGAGCCAACGCTAATGGGTCCACCATGTATAGGGGCCGGTTGCACACCTTAAAATCCCTAGGCAGTGCTCCCCGTCACTCGGTAGCATCCCCCTCTACTGAGAGTCGTCATCATGCTCCCTCTTATCTTGCTGGCAACTCTCCTTCTCGATGGAGGATAATGGCCTGGAACACTGGAGGCCTCACCACGGCCAAACTTCTTGAAGTTGAGACTTGGTTGGAGCAGTGCCATGCAAGGGGGTCCATGGTGCACGTTTGCATACTCACTGAAACGCACTGGAGCTTTACTTCAGAATGGGAGCTGGCCTCCTACAATGTTGTTCATTCGGGCCTTAGTAATCGACAAGCTGGCATCCTTGTTCTTGTGCACAAAACTCTTGTGCCAGGCTCCGCCATTCGCTTCACGGCGGACATGCCAGGTCGACTTATGATGCTGAGGCTTGAGACCTCCCCTGCTACGTATGTTGTAGCCACCTACCAGCATGTTTGGTCTGAAACCCCCAGCGCCGACGATTGCCTTGCTGCTCGTGAAATCTTCTGGACTAAGCTGGCTGCCACCATTAGGAGTGTCCCCTGGAGAGCTCAGCTCGTTGTGGCAGGTGACCTTAACACCCCCTGCGTTGCGCAGGCGCCGTTCGTAGGAGAGGGCCTGACCCCCATCACGGGTGAGATACGGCAACGAGACCAACCGAGATTGCAACAGCTTCTCACACAGTTCAACCTCGTAGCCCTCAACACCTGGGGACGTAGGAAGCATTGCCACACTTACCAGTTTGAGCATACGACCAGCGTGCACCGTACCCAGATAGACTTCATACTGTGTCGTGCGCACCATGCAGATCCACTTGCTAAGTCAGCTCGCCCCATCAGAGCGCCCTTTGTGCCCGATCGAGGTATGCGACACTTCCCCCTTCTCACCACACTTCCCTCCCCTGTTGAGCCCCGGCAGAGCAAGCCAAAACGTACCACCCTCACTGCTAAAGTTGTGGCCCTGAGTTTGCAGGAGGACACCAAGCTCGCTGATCGCTTCAGTCGTCAAGCTGGCGCTCTCATGCCGCCCTGCTTGGTTGGGGACCCAGCTGCTGCTCTCAACAAGGTGCTCCATCAAGCCTGGCAAAATGTTTGCCCCCCTAGACCACCTTCGACAAGGGCTCCAGAACATAGGGCGGTAGGTCTTGTTCGACGGCTTTGGGAGTTGAGACGGCAGCGTGCGCAACTGCCCCCTCGGACTTTCTCAGTCCTTCGAGGTTGGCTCCAGGCGGCCCGGCTCTCCAGGGTCCAACGCCTGCTTCGGCAGGCCTGCAAAGACAAGAAACGAGAGAGGGTGAGTGCGCTCCTTCAAGAAGCGGAGTCATCCAGACACCCGTCCGCCATCTTCAGTGTTGTGAGACGGCTTGCTCCGAAATCCCGCACCATGCGCGTGCAGCTGCGCGACAAAGACGGCAGGCTTCTAGCGGGAGCCGAAGAATCGGAACACATAGCTGCCTACCTACGTACGGTGTATCATAGTACCGACACCACTGCTGCCCCACGGGAGCCACCGTTCACGGGCATGAAGTTTGAAGAGGCAGACTTAATACAGGCGCTCAACAAGCTAGGTGCAGGTAAAGCCCTCCCCGCCGGTTTTGTTCCTGCAAGACTGTGGAAACTTGCTCCAACACAGGTGGTGAGGGCCCTGCTGCCGGCCATGAATGTCACTGCCTCAGCCTTGGAGGCCAGCTGGCACCGCGTGCAACTGCATCTTATACCTAAAGTTCAGCTAGTCAAAGAGCCCAAAAACTTGAGACCCATAGCACTGTTGCATCCCGCCAACAAGTTGCTTGCTACTATGATAGCTGACAAAGTGCAGGATAAGGTGCTAGCATACCTCACACATGTACCTCAATGGGCGTACCTTCAGGGGCGATCGACTTCGGACGCTCTCACTGCTGTGTGCGCGCACATGCATCAAGTTAGAGAGCTGCTTGCCAGTCAAACTCGATCGTTGCCACAGCGTTTCCAGGGATGCGAGAGGCAGCAGGTAATAGGCGGCGTTTCCATCAGTCTGGATGTCAAAAAGGCCTTTGACAGCCTGAGCCATGCATTTCTAGCTGAGGCGATGAGAGACGCAGAATTTGAGCGCACTGAAATCGACCTAATATTGCATTTGCACAGTCAGGCCTGCCTCTGTGTTGGCTCCCACCGCGATTCTGCGCAAATATTCCTCGGCACTGGCGTGCGCCAGGGGTGCTCCTTGTCGCCATTGCTCTGGTCTTTAGCTACAGGTAGATTTTACCGACTCTACCTCACAGCTCTCAAAAACCAGGGTTTATCTGAGGGCCTCACCAACATGTTTGCAGATGATGTGTTTGGGAGTTGGGTCTTCAAGAGTCCTGAGGCCTTC